TGTTTTCAAACTGTTCTATAGAATGCCAGTGTTCAGAAGGCACACATTAGAATTCAAGAAATAAGTGCCTGGATGTGTTTGCTATATTCCCTGTTCCTAATCATTACCCATCAGAAAGAAAACCAATGCTGTGTATTTTCAGCATAACTTGACTATATGACATCTTTCTATACTGTAAAAACAGCCCCGGAATCCCTGATGTAGTAGTGAAAGCGATAGTTTGGAATACCTGAAAAGAGTAGTGTTTTGGGCTAACTGGTCAGCTGGCCCCTCCTCCTTCCCTTTGTTTGTGTGTTAGAGCCAGGACAAAGGTATTCCTTTTGTCTTTATTCCAGTATGTGCTACTATTGTACACCTGTCTTTTTGCTTTGTTAGGTTTTAGGCTTCTTGAGATTTGGGATTGTACCTATCTTGTTACAAGCTACTGTGTTCTAATTGAGTACTGAGTGAATGAAAAGTTAGTATGTAACTTTCTTAGAAAAATAGTAAAATATATAAGTAGTGTTTTTTAAAAGAAAGATAATTATACTGCTTTCTCAAGCAAACCTGGAATATTTCTAGCCTCTGAGAGAATGTATCTACTTACCACTTACACTCTGTTAACTTCCCCAAAGTAGTTATGGCTGCAGGATTGGACCTAATGGATACACGTGTTCTTTCTTGATCCTCTTGGCCGCGAGGACTTAACATTCATTTTGATCTTATCAGTATGAAAAAATGTCCTGAATGCTAGACCATAGCTTTGAGGAGGAAAATTTGAAGATAGTTTGAACTTTCTCTAGCAAAGTTCGCTTTCAGGTGTTCTCTCATTTACTGTCATTTTAACAAGAGAGCTACATAGACAGTACTTATTTTCTTTCTCATATTTACAAATGATGAAACCGTTAGGTCAAAGAAACTGCTTAAAAAGTATAGTGGCTAAGCCCTCCCTGGTGGCTCAGCGAGTTAAAGCACTGCACTAAGAAGCTTAAGTCACTTCCTCATGAGTTTGATCCCTACTTGCCCGCGAGGAGATCCATATGGCATGGCAGACCTCTCCTGACCCGCCCACTGCTCCCCTCAGCAGTGTACTTCGTTGATTTTTCTGTTCTGCTCCCCACTCTGTCCCTGGTGAATCCTCTCACCCTCCGCATCTCTGGCCTGTACCACGTTTCTGTATGAATAAATAAATAAATCTTTAAAAAAAAAAAAACTACAGTGGCTAAATATAGGAATGAGCCTTAATCCCAGATTTATCCAACTCTGAAGCTCATGAACTTTTCATATTTAATATTTGGTATTTATATTGCTTTTGTAGGTTCTAAACTTAAGAATTTTACAAGTAGTTTAAGTCATAGTTTTTACATTTTGTGGCCAGAAATAAAATTTACCTAAGTAAAAATAAGATGCCAAATAGGTTGGAATAGGTTTCATTTTAACCATCAAATGTTAAAACTGTATGCTCTCTTAGATACATACTCATTTGCAACATATTCATTTGACACAGGTGTAAAGAGTCTTCAAATTGTTTGCAGCACATTTATTTTAGTGGTCAAATGTTAAAACTCTATGCTCTCTGAGATACATATTCATTTGCCACGTATTCATTTAACACAGATGTAGAGTCTTCAAATTGATTGTAGCCCATTTATTAAGTGTGTCTTCATCTGAACTCAAATTCTGGGTATCAGATTTCTTTCATATGTCATATGTTCCTATAGTTTGTAACCTAGTACCTGGTGCATGCGTACTTTATAAACATTATGGGATTAATAAACTGAAGATTATCTATGTGAACTTTATTTCCTTGAAATCAGAATAAGACCCAGCTCCTTTTGCTATGTGGTCCCCTCCTCCATTTTATTTTCCTGATTCTTAATTGTGTATCTTATACTGATTTATTGCCATACCTCCCAATACACACACACACACAACTACGTTCTTCGGTACATGCACTTAAAAAGGAATTCAGGATGGAGCTGGGAGAATATTCAGTAATTAGGCAGGCAAGGCTGTGTCTCTAAGAAGTTTCACCATATAAAAATGATTATCTAATTTTCCTGTTACTTGTTGGTTTTCTTAAATTTTAGAAACATCCTTGAGTGGTTTAATTTAAAATAACAGATTCTGTGTTATATAGAAAATTAACTTAGATTGACCCTGGGAGGGAACACCTGAGAGTTTGCTAGAGAATTTTAAAACTGGGGTACAGTAAGAGGTCTACATAATTTGCTAATCTGCAAAAGCAGCCATGTATTAAGGCTTCACAAGCAGAGAAAATAATGCTTGGGTTTAAAACCCAGATTTACATCTCTGGAGATTGAAACTATCTTCGCAGTTATTTGCTTCTCGTGTGAGCAGATATATATATATTCCCACTTAAGGATTTGCTAAATCAAATGTGGTTAACAGTTTCTGGGACAAGGCTGACTTGATTAACTAGTGGCAAAGTAAGAGGACAGATTAATGCTGTTGATGGCTAGGAGAAACCAACCAAGCACTGTATCCTTTTTTGCTGGTACCTAGGAATTCTGTTGACTACTCTTAGGATGGGCATATTGTTTCATAGTATCAGTTATTTATGGGGAATTGTTGATGATTTATAGGATGATAAGAGCTATATAAAGCCCAAAGTGGAAAATTGGGAAATCTGCATAGCCGGCAAAGAACAGCTGCAGCTCTGGCCACTTACATAAACTGATATTGCAAAGAAGAAAGTCAGATTCTCATAGGGTGGTAGGGGGACCACCTTTGGCTTGCTAATAATTTCACTCTATGAAATAGAAGCTGAGTGTTCTATAAGCCACTGATTGAGGGTTTTAGGCTTTGTGTATGTTTGAAAGGCAACGTAGTTTTCACCTTTCATTTGAAAGGCTTTAATCAACAGTGTTGTAGTTGGTCACAGAGCAACTGCATTGAACTTTTATAGTGGGTTTTTAAGACCGTTTTTTAGCTGCTTAATTTCTAACCTTTTATCAATTAGCAAATAATTTGAAATGACTCAGTGTAGTCATTTACATGAGTAAAATGGAAGTGGAGAGTTTCCTGAAGAGATTAGTTAAATGAAGTTTGCAGATCCTAAACCTTATTAGCTACCAGTTAAAGAGATGAGAAAAGTATGAAATTGCAACACCACAATGCCTCAGTTGGTGTAAGGCTTACACAGAAAGGTGAAATTAACCACAGGATATAAGAAAAAGTAAGTTTGGTTGTAAAGGATGGTATGAACTAAAGAAATAGCATGAGCATTGATAGGATGGTGACATTGGAAATTGAACTTGAGTTTTATATTCCTAATGTGGATATGACTTAATTCAGATTTCATTCCAAGGCTTCCTTTACTATACATTGCTTCTTCCACACCTGCTTCTCCCCCCCCCCCCAGCCCTGTCACTCACACATATAATGAATAGGAGCTAGTGATTAGAAGAGGTAACATAAAAGTGACAAAATAGCACAGTAGAAACCCAGATCAAGATGAGGATACCTGGTTTTGACATTAGACATCTAACAGGTTACTTAAGACCTTGTAGATTAGGGCCCTCTCTGGTGGCGCAGTGGGTTAAAGTGCAGCACTATGAAGCTATCCACAGCCACTGTGGTGCGAGGTGACCCACAAGGCATGGCAGACCTCTCCTGTCGCTGCTCCCCTCAGAGTGTATTTCAGTACACCTGCCTGTTCTGCTCCCTACTCTGTCGCTGGTGAATCCTCTCACCGCCTGCATCTCTGTACTGTACCCCAATTCTTACATGCATAAATAAATAAACATTTTTTTAAAGACTTTATAGATTTAAGTTTGTATTAACAGGAATTTTGATCAGCAAAAGGTGGTATTTGTTTTTATTTCTCTATCATAATTTTTGGGAAGCCTATAAATTGGCTATTAGTGTGTTATAGGTCTCTTTCCAACTACATACATTTTTCACAACTGCAGGTAAAGCTACATTATGGAGACTGAACGCTCACATTGTTTTCTTACATATAGTTCTGCTATAGTGTGTAGGCCATGTGATGGAAATTACTCTGTGAGAACTGAAATGAAACAACTATAACTAGTATACTGACTTACTAATTTATGTGTTGAATATGAAGGGAAATGGGCAAATGAAATGGGCAAGTTGCAGGATCCAGAAACAAGATGTTAGAATAGGTACTTGAACCTCACTTTTCAAACTCCCGGATTTAAATGTACTTCTGATGATGAGGCTCAGTTTTATTTTTTAAAAAAATCTCAAAAACTAATGATTCTGATTAAAAACCAGGGTTGGTATTCATAGACTAATTCTGCCATTGAACACCTCCAGATGTTACCATTTTATTTTAGGAATGTTAAGAAAGCTGATAGAGCACTTTAAACTGTGGTAGTATGTTGGCAAAGCTTCTTAATGCCAGAACAGTAGATTACAGAATTACAGGGGTCACTATAAATTACCCAACAGAGAGAACAATAAACTATGGTCCTTAGACCAAATCTGACTTGCCACATGTGCTTATAAATAAAATTTCCTTGGAACACAGCCACAGTAATTATTCATCATCTATAGCTGCTTTTGTGGTACAGTAGGAGAATTTTGGTTTTGCAAGACCCACAGAACCTAAAATACCTTCTATCTGGATCTTTACAGAAAAAAAATTACAGCTTTTGAACAGACATTATTTTGTACATGGAGATTTAAGTCTCAAAAATAATGAGTTAAATATTCTGAAATTACACAACTAATTCACGATCAGAGTATAAAAACAATGTAGTTCTCCTTTTTCCTGCTTCTGTTCCATACATTTTTGTTGAAGGGGTGATACCCAGGTGAGATCAGCAAAGATACTTGTAGTGTAATATTTTGTTTATAAGCTATTTATATTACAAAACTATTTCTGGGACAGTAGTCCATCAGTTGATTGTATAAAAACCTTTTAACTTGAGTCAGGAAGTAGAATCTGGTGGTGGTATATTCTGTTTCCTGAATAGAAACCTTTAATCTGTCCAGCAGTTTGATAAGATTAATTTTTATTGCCTATGCAGCCAAATGGACGGACTATTGAAGTTACTGAGGAGGAAGTTGTCCGAACTCCTCGAAGTGTAACAGCAAAGCAACCTGTAGAGACAGACAAGAAAAATGAAAAGGTAAGCTTCAAGGAAAATGAAACATAGCACAGTTCTTAATAACGAGAGTAACATACTGAAATGATAAAATTTTGTTATAATCCCATTTTAAAAAATCTGAATTTATTGTAGATGGATAGTTAGTAAAAGTTTTTTAAGGAGACTATGTCACCAAGTACTCTAAACATTGTTGTGACATTAAAGTAAAATTCTGTTGTAATAGAAACATAGTGGTCTACTAATTAAACAGTTTGACTTACTTAACAAAAGGATATCTTCTATTCTCAGGTCAGTGATAAGAGGTCTGTAAGTCCTCTGTTACATTTTCAAATAAGAAAGTCATCAGACCCTCTGAATGGTATATTTCAGGGATTTTATTCACTTCTTCCAGTTGCCAGTATTAGAATTGACCCATTTTGATTTGAGTTGACTTAGAAGTAAGCAAAATGTGTATGAAACTTAATAGTGATTCTTTCTTTGGTACATTATATATTCCCTTTTTTTTTTTTTTTAACTCTATGCATGACTCCTTTTCAGGAAGACAACCACAGATTGGTAAGTATTTTCTAGGAACTAGGGTGCAGCTGTCCCATCCTCATAAAGTAGTAGTTGCTACAGTTTCTTAATGCTTGAAGTTTCAAAATACACTTGAAAAGTTGGTAAGACCAGTTTTCTTCTTATAACTCCATGTGAAATTTGTGTAGGGTCAAGGCAACTACAGGTAGGGGGCTAAATGAAGGATGTTTGTGAGAAAGAATTAAATGTATGTCTGACTTTGCCTTTAACAAAAAAATTAAGTGTAAATGACATGTTAGTAAATATGTAGCTAATTTAGGAATTGTAAATTTATAGCATGAATGATTTATATTGCTGATACAGATTTATAACTCTGCTATCTAGTATTTTCTGTTTCTTAACTGTGTACTTTTAAGCATTTTATACCTAATTTCCTGCTTCCACACCCTGAAATAGCCTGAAGAACTTACAGTCGGAACAGTTAATGAACTTCCATTCATCTCTGATAATTGAACATATAGATTAATTATTTTGGGTGCATTAGGATATAAAAACCACTGTTCAAAAGTTTATAATCATTCTGAAATTTTTATGTTAGAAAATAATTATAATAGTTGACATGATTTAATATGGTTATTTATTTTTGCAAGCCCTTTGAGGAGGCAGTATTGTACCTCTCTCACAAATAAGAAACCAAAGACTTAAATTAACGAATCTACTAAAGTATAGTCAGTTGTAACCCAGACCCAGCTGACTTCAATGTGTTCTTAGTGTTCTGTTCCTCTCAAAAATATTTGTCAGGCTAGTAGCAACAGCCCCATTTTATAGAGGAATTTCAGTTTCTGAAGTAGGGTTAGAACTTAATTTATTCTGTGTCAAACCCAGGCACTTTCTAATCAATTGACAATAATTGCCTCCTTTCAGTTTTGTTTTTTTTTTTTTCAGTACCCAAGCTCCTACCTTGGGTTTGTTGACTATTTGATTTGACTTTTTGCATAGTAAATGTTACAATACACTGCTAGTGTTTTGTTTTGTTTTTTAATGATTTATTTATTTATGCATGCAGAGCTGGGGTACAGGCCAGAGGTGCATGAGCAGTGAGAGGATTCAACATAGACAGTGGGGAGCAGAATACGCCAACTGATGTAGTACAGTGTTGAGAGGAGTAGCGGGTGGAACAGGAGAAGTCTGCCACGCCATGTGGGTCACCTCCCTGGCCGGGCCTTCCCTAGTAGAGCAACACGTTAAAGTGCAGCACTATGAAGCTAGCCACAGCCACCTCAGCATTGGTTGTTTGTTTGTTTGTTTTTATTTATTCATACAGAACTGGGGTACAGGCCAGAGATGCGGAGGGTGGGAGGAGCCACCAGAGACAGAGTGGGGGGCAGAACAGGCAGACTGTTTAAGTACACTGCTGAGGGGAACAGCGGGCGGGTCAGGAGAGGTCTGCCGCGCCATGTGGTCACCTCCGGGGGCAGGCAGGGATCAAACTCATGCAGAAGTGGCTTAAGCTTCTTAGTGCCGTGCTTTAACCCGCTGTGCCACCAGGGAGAACCGGTTGTTTGTTTTTGCCATCCTGCATTTTAACATTAAGCTTTCTAACCTGGTTCAGTTTAAACAACTGATGCCATTACATTAAGTATGGTTTTTGTGTTTTAAAACATGTGCTGTTTTTAATACATTGTTTTTCTTTGCAAGCAAATACTTCTTAGATCTGCTTATGTACTTTAACATACATTATTGTACATTAGTTTTCATCTCAGCCATATTTTGGGCTCCTTGAGAAGTATGATTTACAAGTAATTGCATTCTAAGCTATGGTATTGAACAACCTTACCTTGTTAGCTGAGTAAACCTTATAATACTAAATTTTTCTAAAAATGGCATATAATATAGCACTTCTAGGTCTTGGCTAAGCAGGTTAAACTGCATGTTTTTTTGGGTCTTTATTTGAATATAATGGTCAAAGTTTCTTAGACCTGGGCTTAGTAGAGTACATATTGTACTATGACCCAGACTGCATTGTGTTATTCTACACACTAAGGGAATAAAAAGAAATATAAGAGATACTCAGAAAAATTACAATTCAGTTAAAGAAAGGCAACCTCAAGAAAAATTATCTGGTAAAATAAGCATGAAGTGCCTTATATACAGAGGAGATTTACACTGTTTGGATACCCAGAAAAAAGACTGATTTAATTGAACACCTAAGAATGAGTATGATATTTCAGCAAGCACAAGTGGAGGGTCCAATTTTTGCAAGGAGAGAAACAAATGAACAAAATCAGACATACACAGCAGAATAGCTGAAAGTGTATTTCGATATACTAAACTAAAAGCCTATACAAGTTTGACGGGGTTTAGGGTAGGGTGAGGAAGTATAATAAATACTTAGTTATGTTGAGGAAGTATAATAAATACTTAGTTATGTTGAGGAAGTATAATAAATACTTAGTTATGATGCAAGGATCCGTCTTGCATCTGTGATTGTATGAGTCTGAACTAAGAGGTATAAAGACTGTTAGTAAGGAAAATCAACAGAAGCAAAATACATAAAATTTGGTTACCATCAGGTTGTTTAGAATAAATGCAGTGATACCCTATCAAAATACTGATAACAGGCATTGTTAAGTATAATAAGCACTGACATTTTAATGATGCTGCACAGTTTACAAAATTTTTTACTTGATGAACAGTTTTGGCTTTTTTTTAAATAAAGCTCATTAAAAAGAACTTAGTGAATTGACCAAGATTACTTTGCTGGTAAATAATGTTCCCTCTATTTCTGAGGCAACAGTGTTCAAAATGTGGTCCAGGGACCCCCACTTTTAGGTCCAGAACACAAAACTATTTCCTTAATAATTAACACACTACTTGCCTTTTTCACTGTGTTGATATTTGCACTGATTATATATAAGTAATAGTGGGTAAAACTGCACAAATCCAGGAAATGACGGCAAACCACTCACAGCTATATTCTTCATCACAGTCCACGCACAGCAAAAATCATGCTAGTTCACTTAGTATGTCCGTGCAGTAAGGGCAGTAAGAATAATTTGATTAAGTCTTGACCTTTGAATACATACTTTTTAATTTATGAGGAGTGAGAAGTTTGTAAAAGTATGGTACATATGGAAAGCAGTTTTTATCTTGAAAAACATGCACAGTTGAATTTTAAACAGGATTAGCCATTTTCTTCATATTATTCATTTTTACTTGAAAGAACACTGATCTACAGACCCTGGCTTATACTAGGTTATTTGCAGACATTTTCTCCAAAATAATTAATAGGATTCTGTCATTTCAAGGAATTATTTGCTGCAAATGATAAAATATTTTGTTGCCAATTGAAGATTAGAAATTTTAAAAATTTAAATTCATCGCCATGAACTTGATGAGTTCCTGGTATTCAGAGAATTTGTTACCTGTTATATTAATGTGTGATTTAAAATACATGTGTGTGACATATGTATTAGTGGAGTGTTTCAGCACTTTGGGACATCTGAATAACTCTGAACCAGTATTTTCCAAATGACTTATGCTTGCTTGTTACAAAATCAGGCAAAAGTTACAAGATAGACCAATGGGTTTTATTGAGTAGAAAATATATAGAAAGTTCATTGGTGTAATTTCAGCTTCCATATTGAAACAAATTTAAGATGTTATTGCTGGGTACATATTGGTATAATATACTTTTTCCTTCCTCTACCTAATACCTTCCTGACTTCCCATTGCCCTTAGAAAACATTCCACAATCTGGAGAACAGCTGATGACCTTGCCCTCGGCACACATGTTTTCCTGCCTCAACCTCTCTAAGCTTCAGCCACATTATTTTTCTTTCTTAACCAGCTTTATTTTGACATGCCATAAAAATTGTCTTATTTTAAACATACAACTTTAGTGTATTTACACTAACTTTAGTAAATAATTTAGGTTTTACAGCTTTTCTGGCTTCTGTGAAAATTTTCTTCCTTCCTGAAAGAAATCTTTTGCCCCATTAATAGTAGCTCCTCGCATCCCCGTAACCCTGGCCATGCTAGCCAGAATATCAATTATATGAAATACTCCTCCCCTAGCCAATTATATATAGCCAAATTTTTTTCATATGTTTCAAGCAAACAACATATAACAATAAATTGATGCTAAAGCAGATGTAGGAATCCAGCTGTCTTTTAAGTCAGACATTAAAGATAGTTGAAAAAGTAAAACATGCCACTTTTTGCCCTACAATGTATTTTGTTTTGGAAAACAACGGTTTTTATAGTAAAATTATATGTTATAGTGTATTATCATGATTTTGAAATAAATAAGTATGGGCCCTTCCTGGTGGTGCAGCGGGTTAAAGCACAGCACTAAGAAGCAAAAAGCCACTTGCGCATGAGTTCGATCCCCGCCTGCCCCGGAGGTGACCACATGGCGTGGCAGACCTCTCCTGACCCCCCCGCTGCTCCCCTCA